TGGCGTATTCATTTCTTATGCAAACCAATAATCAATTCTTCTTCGGTTTCCAATGAAGTATCTATTTCGGCCAATGAACGTTTGTCTGAAATGCACATCGTGTATGTGCACCAATGCTTGTGCATTTCCGCCTTAGCCGAATCCCGGTGGTCAGGGTCGGCCGAAATCACGAATTTTCAGGTGTTCATCATCGCCTACAGCCAGCCTCGAACTGTTTGCACCTGGTGGAACCGGGACCTGGCCAATGCTCGGTCGGTGTCATCCGACCTGAAGGCCCGACTCAAGCTGACCGTCTGCATGCAGCAGGGCACATCAAGCCACTTGATCCGGAAAATCGGGCTGCGAGGAGGACAAGTGCTATGGGAAATGGGTACATTGCGTTGTTAACACTCGGAATGGCCCCAAATTAGTGAAGTACGAAGGGACCAGAGGGCTGACATAATGTTTGGAAGATGGCTTCCCTCTTTCCTTTCGAATGAACATGCTTGAAAAACAGGTTCTGCTGTATGTGATCCAATAATCACTTCAATATTGAATGATGCCTCCAAGATTGTTGGATGGGTTGAAAGCAATTGATAAAAATCTCCCAATACACTTTTTATTCACATTCAAACTTCCAATTACACTTGTTTATTAAGTAAATTTTCGCAACCAAGTCTATTCTTTACACAACTTTTGGACCAACAAGTCATTGTAGCGAAGCCGATCAGTTTCCATTAGTCTACCAACCGATGCGGAAATGGCAGTTAACTACGAGGGCGAGTAAGCTTTTAAGAACCCAATCATAGTGAAAGTATTACCGTGGGCAGTTTACTAATCTGCTTGTGATGGGCAGTTCACTCCTCTTGTCCGAACGTGTCTTTCTGATTGTACTTAAAGGCATCATTCAGTTGACGAGAATGTTTTTTCCCATTTCTATTAGTACGTCTACTTTTTGGGAGAATGCAATTTTCCCGGCTGATGTCAAATGTCTCAGGTAGCGCCATCTTATCTGGCCAGAATAAGAAAAAGACAAATGTGGAGAATGCACTCTTGTCTGGGCTGGAGCACAACTTTGGTCCTTTGCCCATTGACGCGATCGGTTGACGATGGGCCCCCAGAAGATGCCTTTTTCAGACTTGGGCCAGGCCCTTGAGTTATGTAAATGGTGCGTTTTAAGGACTCATTTGGACGGTGCAGCAACACGTGGACAAGTGCAGCAACACGCACAACCATTTGCAATATGGGCCAAGGATTTGCGTGAGTGTACCTACATGTTCGTCTCTATTAACCGTATTTTCGTGTGAGCGATTGTGTGTGTGCGTGCATAGCGAGGGGAAATGAAGAGAATGGGAGTTTACCCGTGGGCTCAGATAAGACCCACTTCACCAGAGCATGTTCGTGTATTTAGCCCGAGCGTGTATGATATAATTGAATGGCTACTTGAGTGGGCTAGAGATAGCAGTAAAAGTGAGGGCGCATACTCATTGCTGAGACGAGATTTCCTATTATGCAACAAGGACAAGGCTTCACAGGTGATTAGACCAAGTCCCTTTTGTCCACCACGACTGCTTTCCCAAGATGGACGAGTCTGGCTGGATGGTCGGCTGGCTGCTGGTGGGGCTGGTGGCATCGGTGGGGTTAGGGACGAGTTGACAACCCCACTTTCTCCTCTTACCCTACCCCCATCAGTGCAAACTGGACTTATTCTATTCCACTCCAGAAGAAGAGCAGAGGTCAGACATGCAATCTCGTGGTGTTTTGGTAGAAAAGGAAAGCTGGTCGGTCGCCAGCAGACGTGACCAAGAGGGCTGAAAAGAGGAAGCCCACACTCTATTGGCTAATAGAAATCTGACAGCTGCCTATAACCCATCCATCAACCTTGGAGGCATCATTCAATATTGAGGTGCTCCAGTGCGCCTGATTGTTGGATCACTGACTGTCTCGACGCGTACAGCAGAACCTGCTTTTCAAGCATGTTCATTCGAAAGGAAAGAGAGAAGCCATCTTCCAAACATTATGTCAGCCCTCTGGTCCCTTCGTGCTTCACAAATATGGGGCCATTCCGAGTGCTAACAACGCAATGTACCCATTTCCCATAGCACTTGTCCTCCTCGCAGCCCAATTCTCCGGATCAAGTGGTTTGATCTGCCCCAGTGCCTGCAGACGGTCGGCTTGAGTCGGGCCTTCAGATCGGATGACACCTGAGAGTCCGTGATTTCGGCCACCGGGATCCGACTAATACGGAAATGCACAAGCATTGGTGCACATACACGATGTGCATTTCACACAAACATTCATCGGGCGAAATGGACACTTTGTCGCTTGCTCCCTTGTCGACTGTGATGAGGGCGTTTGTCATTCATCAAGTCCCACGCACAAGTTGGTCCGGCCCACACTTGCAGGTAGGGGTGGGCTTGGCGGTCAGGTGGGAGAGCAGACGTGTGCAGATGCACAAGTTGATACAGTTGTGAATATACTCTCCCGTAGGCCCACTGGCAGGAGGAGGACATGGCTGTTTGGACGACTGGTCAGTCTGCCTGTACCCTCAGGAAAGTGTCCAGGTCTTAGCACCCCAACCCGATGGCGCCTGAGGTTTAGCTGGCATCTAAAGCGGTCGACAAGTGTGAACGGATTGGTTGGCCTGCGGCAACTGGAGGCACCGCTACCACTCGTAACCCCACCCCACCGCACCGCGCCATCTTCAGACCACGGCGACAGGACCAGATAGACTCGTCCTGCAACAAAGTGACTGCAAGCAAATGGCGTCTTTTGATAAAGTGGCCGAAAGGGTAAGAGTGACAGAGTGCGAAGATGAAGCAGTCGTCGTGGGCCCTTGAACAGAGCATAGCAATTGTGAAGGTGATAATGATGCATGTGCTGAGGTTGGCCAGAGTGGGCCGTGGGCAGACGAGAAGACGGAAGAAGAGTAGTCGGGTGAGATGAGGGAGGCCAGGGGGGAGGATGATAATTTGAGTGTCGTCGTCGATGCTGGCCGAATGAGGGAGCAAACTTTTCGAGGACGCCCTGCTGCCAGTTGGTCTTGCAGAATGAGTGACAACTTCATTTTAATGGTTCCATCAGGTCCACTTGACGGAGAGAAAGAGGAAGACGATCGCCAACCAATTTTCAACAAATCCGCAAAACCCTAATAACACCAGTCAGGGCCAAGTAGGTTCGTTCAGTGAACTTGCTGAGACGTGTTCGTTGCTGCACAAGCCTGTTTATACCTGCTCTTGAACATGTACACGGATTTGCATCTTCGATTGCTTAGTTTTTCCGAAAGTTCCCGTTAAATGCATCAAAAAGAGTTGATTTTGAACTACCTGAAGAAAAGACGAGGACCATCAAGTGGCCTCTTAGTAACAGTAATTGTAATTTAGGTCTAATGGAAGAAGTTAAGCTTTTGGAAATAAAGGTGACTAGAGGCATCCTTGCGCTCAGTAAGTGGGTCAGGCTGAAGCACCTGTAGACATGAGGGAACAAATTAATATATCCCAACAAAAAGCCACTTCCTTCGCCACGAATAGGCTCTAACCTATCACATGTTAAACTTGAAATGCCATGCATTTCCAGGCACAATTATCATTCATATTTAGATTAGGAAGACTTTAGAGACTACCAGTTAATACAGAAAAGAGTTCCAGATGTTCCATTGAGATAAAGAACTGATATTAATGAGCTTACTTCCATTTCGAGTTATCTTGACTCGTTAGCTTGAATTTTGTTGTGACGATGTTACTTCGATCTGATGATGTTCGTCATATAACGGACGAAAGCTTAGCATCTTTAGACCGGAATCGAAGGAGATTGCCTCAGAAACACCGTCAGCATCAATGCTCCAGTAAAGCCAATTGACAGCTGGTCAAGAGGAATCGGCCGTCGTCTTCTGGTGAAATCAACCTTCC